ACATATCAGTTAACTTAAATAAAGATTAGATTATTAAATCTAATAAAACACCAGAATTAGCGCAGTTATATGGGAAAACAATCACTGGTTTGTTATACACAAGTGCGACGTTTCGATAAATATCCTCTTATCGTTATCAAGCAATATCGTTGCAATATGATAGCCGTCATATTTAATAATTTGTTATGGTCTCAGACTAGTAGTTATGGATGGACAATTTTTCCCTAAATTTTTTTTCTCTCCTCTTCCTGCATTTTTTGGTTGCTGTTTTGGTCTGGAATTGGGGAAAAGGGATCAAATTTGCAATTTTATAACAGTTTTGGGTAATACTGATGATATTACAGCGGAAGGATAGGGGGTGTAAAGTGTCTTTCTGCAGAGCAATCATTGTGTCGGTAGTGAGATTTTCACCCCACTCAAATGTGGTCCCCATGGTGCCTTTAAAGATTGGAACCAACGGAATGTTGAGCAAAACGCTAAAGCCTGTGATGTTACAACTATTTAATATTGAAGTCAATGGGCAAATAATTGCTAGTCTGAGATCTGATGGCGCTAAAAACGACCATGAAACTATTCAATTTTGATTTAACAGTTTTTGAAACAGGTTTCGAAGTGTTTTGATTCTGTTATGCAGGATCTTTTTTCGTTTCGAACTTTCCAAAAAAAAAAAACAAAAAAACGTACGGTGCTAAGACCACCTAAAGACAAATTTGAAATGTACCTATTATTAATTAGAACAGGTTTCGCTTTAGTTTTTATATTTTACGCTGACATTTATTGCTTTAAATCTTTCTAGTGCAAAAATGGAAAATTTGACCTTTTGACCTATGAATATCTGGAAACTGATGTCAGTATTTTATTAAAATCCAAGAGCGTTTTATTTAAGATAGATATTGTTCTAATATGTCGATTTTCACAGTTATGATCAACATATTTAATTGTTTTATAAGAAAATCATTCAGTTCAAACATTATAATCAGTTTATCATACAGCTGGTGAGGTGTGTTATTAATATTAATTACGTTCAATCTTGATTACTTTGGTGGTATAGTGAAGTTGTTGTTATTATCAAGAAATACATATTGTTTATCGATCAGACAATGTACAATGTATTCCAGTCTATAAATCCAGCCCAATCCCAATCTTCACTATCATCTTCTGTATCACAGATTTTTGTTGATCTTCTAAAATAATGAGTGTTAGACTGTAGCTAGCCTGGTATGATTTAATATCAACTGTGTTACGTAGACGTAGATAAATACTCGTACCTAGAGTTGGTTCAATATCTTCCTCGACTAGGTTTTTTTTTTATTAAAATATGAATACACCATGACAAACATTGAATATACTAATCTGCACCATATACTTTATCTTCTCCTCGACGTACAACTGCATCCAAGTTAAAACTAGTTGCAACAGATGGTCATTCTCTTTCCTTGAAGCGCAACATCATCCAAGTTGAAAATGGTTGTAAACGTTGATTGTTCTTGATGCAGTAAATTGCTTTGCTATCAGTGTTTTATCACTGATTTTTCAAACCAACTTAGTTAAACCGCTATCTCCTTGTTCTTCTTTAACTTGTGGTATTCTGTTTAAAACCTGGACAATAGATTTATCTTCTATAACATCTTCCATTAATATTTCCAACTCTTTTAGAGGATTGGTGAAAATAAATTTTTTGACAGGGTTTGGTCACTATATAATACATATGAATACATGTTGATATATTTCAGTCCAGGTACAGTTGTTAGCGATATACATCGTAGAGCCAATTTGAAAATGATGAAGAATATCAAAAGGTAAGAATCACTAAAATATATTTTAGGTAGGTGAAATCTTGGACTAGCCTGATCTTCCCAGTCAGTTGTAGATGTACAGTATTGCACAGCACCGATCTGGTCGAACTGGGTTGATGTTTAAAAACCTACTTACAGTACTCTATTTTATATTTACTTAGGTAGATTTCAAGACTCGTACTCGGTGCTCAGACTACCAGAGTTTTGTATTTTTAAGATTTTCGCGGTTTCAATGGCTTAAGTAGATATTTAGTAAATATTTTGGTTTCTGGTACAACAAGTTGACCGCCATCTATTGGGTAGAGTTGGTCAACCAGAAGACGTAGCTAAAACAATCGCCTATCTAGCATCAGACCAGGCTAGTTATATTACTGGTCAGTTGTTATATGTTGATGGTGGACGACATTGTCTTAGTTCTACAACAGCCAACTGTTTTTCGGACAACTAGTTTCATTATGTATAACATTCGTTGTTAAACCAAATCGGGGAGATTTACGTATTATGGCAACAGTTTTCGAAATGTGTTGGTTCTGTTTTTCAACGTTCCAAAGTAAATGTACGGTGCTAAGACCACCTAAAGATAAGTTTTAAATGTTCCTACTATTAATTAGAACAGGTTTTGCTTTAGTTTTCATATTTTACGCTGACATTTTATTGCTTTAAATCTTCCTAGTGCAAAGTCGGAAAATTTTACCTTTTGAACTCCGGGGTCACTATGAATTTAGCAAGATTACATTTTTATTGAAAGAGTGATTACTTTCGATCATTTTTAGCATATTTCCATGATACAATAATGGCTGCGCATTCACTTTCAGTGCAAATGACCTCATTTGACCTTTGACCCCGAATATCTCGAAAACGCCCCAACGGCGGACTGATTACTATAGAAAAGTTGTGTTTGGCTTTGTGCCCTGCGCTGAGCCCCGTGGCCATACCTCTAGAAATGTCATGTATGCAGACATATATACAGCTAAAAATGTCTTTATTAAGAACTGTGGTCTTTTTAAAGATATTAAAATAACATTAATTACGTTCAACCGTGATTATTTTGACTGTATTATTATTGTTATCGTCAAGAAATCCCTTCTGTTTATTGGCAAATCACTCCCATTCTATAAATCCAGACCCACCCCACCCGTTTTCACCAGGTACATATTTATGACCATTAGATTTTCTATTCTTAGATTGTTGTTAATCTTTTATATTAATCAATGATAGGCTGTAGTTTAGTTAGCCTGATTTAATATCAACTGTGTCATCCGTGTAACTTAGATAAAGGTAAATGCATAGAGTTGGTTCATTATCTTGCTCAATTATCTTTTTAGCATTAGTATACCATGGTAAAACTTGAATATAATAATCTCTACACCGTCGGTTCGCATTACTAGACCTTTGTTACGAAGACTAATGATAAATTGTTCGGCTAATCATATACTCTCAAGTATCATACTACTAGCATGATACCTGGCTTAGCCCGGGTCCAAAGATCTGCTTACTTGCTCCTTTTCTTGACCGCTTTTTCGTTAGCTTACATCATCAGTTACTATTATTAAACCTATTAAGCATAATAAACAGAGTTACCCCCCGTTAATCGTTAATCGCTGTAAAACAGTCCAACATTGATTTTTGGCTGTGTGTGCTAAACTTATAAATGATCTTGACCTTCATGGGTCATGGCCTCAAACATTCACGGGGTCATGCTGGTTAATTTGATACCACATATATGGAGGTGGACGCGGTGACGAAGCGTGATGGCCGAACATACACACATACATACATACACACATCTTTGAATCTATTTACATAGATTATGAGGTAAAGCATATACGTAGTAAAGCGGCAGACATAAATACACCCGTGAAATATATTCATACAAAATCTAGCCCCGGATATAGCCAATAGTCCAGCTATAAGTATTTTCAACAAGCTTTCCATAGTTTTAAATATGAGGGCCTTTTTTCGACTTGCCGAATCACTTTGAATATAGTGGCGAAATGACGGTCATAGACCATAAAGTGTGCTATGAGGGAAATGTTGCCCAGAGAGTGGCACTATATGACCTACTCCTGTATCGAATTAAAATTGCCAAGGGATCTGTTACGTGCACGTCAATGTGTACACGGGACTCTTTTTGTCCAATCCAAACGACTATGCGTTGTTCTTTGCCAGGCCCTTTGTCTGGGGGCCCTTTGACAAAGGGGGGGGGGCACGTCGAAAAATCCCGATGGACCTTCTCGATCAACTCAGGGATCGAACAGGAACCTCTAGTTAGCGAGTAAACGTCTTACTCACTGAACCACCGTGGCTCCAGTGTAGTGAAGACGTCATGTATAGTTTATTTCAAATCACTTGTATATTTAAAAATATTCACCCCTGATTTATTTTTTTCTACATAAAGTAAGCGGGATCTTTTTCATGTTGTTGTTTTCACCTGGATCGCCTGTTTCAAGTTGATTGTTTTATGACGAAGAGAGAAGATGACCTGGGCCCTGTTTCACGAAATTTTAACTAAAGATAAAATCCAAATTTTAGTAGATATTTCAATTTTGATTGGCTAAGCACTAAAATCAATCTAATATTATCCAATCAAATTACTAAAACTTGGATTTTATCTTAGTTAAAATTTCGTGAAACAGGCCCCTTCTCACGACAGCGAATTTTAAACATGCATTATGCAAGAGCTTAATCTGCCTATTGGAATTTTTTTTGTTTAGGCCTGAAATGTTATCTAAATTATTAATTAGACATTAATTAACTTATCCAGACCATAATCAACTCTCGATGTCATCGATAGCCTGCGATATTTACAGGATTAGGATCCGATTTGCTGCTTAACTTTCATTCATGATTTAATCAAAAATGGATAAATGGATAATCGAGACTATTTTTTTTATCGTACCGACTTCAGTAATGATGACCGAGGTTAGGCCGAAAATTCAATCGCTAAATTCTCGGTTCAGAGTGGATGAATTTGACTGAAATTTTCAGCAAATTCCCATTACGTTATCTAGTTTTTAACTATTATAGTGAGAATTGCCCGCTCTTTATCTAATCTCCCATAATGTATCTTTAACACCGTCCAAAGGGACATTTTTATGTGCAAGAACTTTTGTTATGTCTTTAACCATTTTTTTTATATTACCCCTTCATATGTAAATAATCTTAATTAAATCAACATCCATAATATCATGTGATCAGCTAAAATCGTGTTTTATTTTGACAGATAGTACATCATTCCATATTAGATTACACGTCATCAATAATCCAGATATCTTAAAGGCAATCCCTACATTACGGTATTCTATTATGGATAAAATACAGTTGATAATAGAAAAACTGTTAATAATTTCTTTTAAATTCCTACATACATTTCAAGAACTAGATAAATAAATAATTAAGTTATTTCAAATATTAAAATGCTATCCATATGTAAATGATTATAAGAGTATGAATAGAATACATTGGACAATAGCAAAACGGTTAACAATTACATTTAATACAAGGTGCATATACCCAAAAAATATTATAAATAAATTTATACATTCATTTCAACTAATATAAATAAATAATTAGACTATTTCAAATACCAAACTAGTTTATATAGGATTCTATGATTAGCATTTATACACCAATAGATAACCTATTAATAGCACTCATGAAGCTTAACAAACAAACACAATACATAAACTAAACAAACGCTCTCTCTCTCTCTCTCTCTCTCTCTCTCTCTCCTAAAATAATTAATTATCTATTCCTTGGTAATAAGATGATTTATCCATTCTACTAAATCCCTTACGCAAGTGAGAAACAAATTGACATATTATGTTTCCATATGTATTGTGTTTTATAATTGTGTTGATTTACTGGCGTCTTGGACGGAATATTCTGCGATTCTTCCAGTAGAAGTGATCTTGTATTTCAACTTGAGTTATCCAAGTGTGATTATTAACATAAATTTCGCAGTTGGTGAAATCTTCTTTGCAGCGTTAATTTTCAGTTAGCGCTACTAATTCGCTGCAATGAAAGATATCGTAGACATGTACAATTACGAAACAAGGTAAAAGAGTGAGGGGTAAGTGGGAAGGGAGGGGTGGGAGGGTAACGTCCACTCGACACAAATCAGGTCATTTACGGACTAACAAATGATATAATTAAATTTGATGGGAGGGAACCCAGAGAAAATCCAGAAGGTTGGGCAGACGATCTTACTCCATACCACGTGCAAACTTGTTATCAAAACCACAACACTTGATTCAATGCCAGATCTTGCAATCGACCACCAAACCACCCAAGGAAAAAGATAATCATATATTATGTACTGTAGCTATTCTGCGTCCGGCGGACAATTCCGGAAAATCACGAACATTGTATGAAATAATGGTAACCATTCTGACTACTTCTTCGTGAGTAAGGCACCGGCTTTTTAACAAGGTTATCTCTGGTTCGATCCCAAAATAGACCGAGAAAGGTCCAAGGGAATATCCAACATGGTGTGGAGGTGCATGGTAGAGGTCACATGGAAGAGCTACAAACCGAACACCAGTGTATACGTAATCAAGCACGTAAAATAACCCTTAGCAGTTGCAATTTCATGATGAGTAGGCCACTGTCGGGGTACACTTTTCCTCAAAACACACTGTGATTAGCGTAAAGGCTAATATTAGGATTATTCCAACTCCAGTAAGGGATGTTGTTGACTATATTTGTATAGTCGTTCGGATGGTGCAAAAAGCAAAGTCACTTATTCGTATTAGGCACGCTGAATCGCTAGTATCAATCTCAAGTGATCAACGTTGTTTTTGTTTTTAGAAAGACTTATTGTGATTCAATTACAAACATGTATTCTAACTCACCTGAAATCTATTTCACCATCGCCATCTTTGTCTAAATGACGTATTAATAGATCAAGTTGTGTCGCTGAGAGATAAATACCAGCCTCCTGAATTATAGAAACAATAACTAAAAGACAATGTCTTTAGTAAGGCACACATTTAGGGTATTAGGAGGAGGGAACATAGGCAACAATTGGATTTTAACTCACATTGCATATTTTAAGGAGCTTGTAGTCAACTTGGTAAAAAAGGACGGGGATTACTTCATGGCTGTTTATTGTGAGTGTTTCAAACTGGTAAAAATAATGTAATTCTTCTTGCAGTTTCAGAATATATAGCATGCAATATCCGAACACATAATTATATTATTGACAACGGAAGCTCTAAAAGTATATTATGGAATCTTCACAGTCATGTGACTATATTTAAAATCATGTTCTGTCGTTACAGAAAACACACGACGGACTTAAGACTAATATCTGTGAAGTATTAACAAAAACATAAATTATGTAACAATTACTAACTTTTAAACCTTGTTGAAATTCTTCATAACTAACACTCATACTTCCGTCTAAATCAAATCTTTTAAATAACTCGACGATACGAATTTTCTGTTTGGCTAGGAATAGATTGATCACATTAATGGCTTCCACTACGGCGTCGTAAGATACCATTCGTCTTTTACCGTAAGAATCTGTGTAACCGTGGATGATTGTGATATCTTTATGGATTTCGTGAAGCTCGTTTATTTTGTTGTTGAAAGCACTACGAAATATAACATCCTGAAAACATCAAACAGCTTGTCTAAAATATTATATAAAACAGTTTACAATTTGTGTAGATTATAGTTTGTGCTGATTACAGTTTGTGTAGAGTGTAATATAAAACGGTTTAGAGTTTGTGTAAAATATAAAACAGTTTACAGTTTGTGTAGATTACAGTGCTGATTATATTTTGTGTAGAGTGTAACATAAAACGGTTTAGAGTTTGTGTAGAATAGAAAACAGTTTACAGTTTGTGTACATTAGATTTTGTGTAGATTAGAGTTTGTGTAGATCAGAGTTTGTATAGAATGTTATATAAACAGTTTACAGTCTGTATAGTATATAACACAGTGTACAGTTTGTATAGAATATAAAAAAGTTTACAGTTTGTGTAGAGTATAAACAGTTTACATTTTGTGTAGACTGTAATATAAACCAGTTTACAGTTTGCGTAGAATAGAATACAAAACGGTATACAGTTTGCGTAGAATATTATATCCAACCGTTTACAGTTTCTATAGTAGAGTATACAACAGATTACAGTTTGTGTAGTCTATGATATAAACCAGTTTACATTTTGCGTGAAATGTAACATAAATTTTTGCACATAAAACATAGTCAACTTGACTATAGCTGATGCGCCAAACGATTAGGAAATTAGAAAGGCAAAAATTTAACTTTCGACTTTTGCATTTTCACCGGTCATAATGTAAAGAAATACTGTTTGTGGTTTAATTTTAACATTATTTGTTTTATATACTTTTGTTTTGTTTGGGTTGGGTGTGTGTGTGTGTGTGTGTGTGTGTGTGGTTGGGGGGGGGGGTATTTTACGGGTGTAAAGACCATATTATACACAAGACAATTAAAATCAAACTTACTGAAAGATCTAGAGTCCTTAGACGTATTAAATTTAATTCGAGGAAAAACATTATTGCTGATTCTGCTGCTTGGTCTGGAACATTGTTTTTACCAACCTGAAGGACAATATGCATACCATCTTCATATTCGTATGGAACGGTAAAGATTCATTATGTAAGATTTCGATATAGAGCAGACATTTCTCGCTATAATAGTTAAACAATAGATACTGAAAATTACCGTCAAATTACTTCATTCTGAACGAAGATTAAAGAATTGTGTAGTCTCGATTGTCATAATTTCTACCGCTGTTACGATAAAAAACAAAAATAAAATCAAAACCATCCGATAATCTAGACAGTTGATTGTGGGATTGGCATGTGAATAAATGTCTAGATGATATAAATAACATTTGAGGCCAAACGAAAGATCTGAACAGGACAGATTTAGCTCTTACACAATGCATCCTTAATTTTACATAACACTGTACATTGTGTATTTACAGAAAATCATTGAAATTCAACTAACGGCCCTAATCCCGGCACAACAGACATTTGCGTTATCATATGTTGAGATTCCTTTTAAGCTATTTGCATTGTGTGACGTGTATTCTTAAAGGACAATATTGGTGTCAGTCATTATAAAATATGTGATAGAACTGGTTAAATACATCCCAAATATAATTTTAACACAGAGATCATTGCTACGGGAGATGTATAATAAGCACGGGAAGAAACGGGAAGTGACGCCAAACATGACAAACACGAGCTGTCCTTCTATATAACTGATTGAATTAACGAGCGATAACAGACACGATATCGAATTGCATTTCACTGATAATTCAGTTGAAGATGAAAAGTTATTATTTGAGACGGTGAGAGGATATCTCACAATTCAAAAAAAGAATTGGCTGTCATTAGATAAAAGATAACAATCAAATTAGAAAAAGTCCGTGCATTACCATGTTTTTATTAAGAACAGAATGAATAAAAACGGGGGAATGCACGGGATTTTTCTATTTTTCTCGTTTTCCCTTATCTAGTGACAGCCAATTCTATTTTTGAATTGTGGGATACACTCTCACCGTCCCATATAATAACTTTTCAACTTCAACGGAATTATCAGTGAAATGAAATTCGATCGTTTGTCTGGTATCGCTCGTTACTTCAGTCAGATATATAGAAGGATAACTCGTGTTTGTCATGTTTGGCGTCACTTCCCGTTTCTTCACGTGCTTGTTACACATCTCCCGTAGCAATGATCTCTGTGTTAAAATTATATTTGGAATGTATTTAACCAGTTCTATCACATATGTAATAATGACTGACACCAATATTGTCCTTTAAGGCGTTTGTACTGTCTGTACTTGGCAGCAGAGTTTTGCTTTATTGTCGACTTATTAAGAAACAGGTTATTGTGAGAATGAGTAATAAGTAAAACTCACCTTTAATGTATCTAATGAGTCATTGTGTTTAAAAGCTCCTATTAAAGTTAAAAATCCATCAGGACCAATTCGATTACAAGATAAATCTAGAGTTTTTAACACCGTGTTAGTCTCAAGAGCTTTAGCCATGGCAGCAGCACCATCATCTTCAAAACCATTCCACGACGCATTGAAATCTCTGATACAAACATTTTCCTGTTAGAAAAGAAAAAGCTCAATAAATATCAAACAGTTGATAAACGAAATTGAAGTATATTGAACACAACAATATTGAACTCAAGTTAACAAAAGCGAACTCAAGTAGAAAATATTGAAGTCAAGTAAACGCGGTGAACTCCAGTAAAAAATATTAAACTTGAGTAAACAATATTGAACTCGAGTAAACAATGCTGAACTCAAGTAAACAATAATGAACTCGAGTAGAAACATTAGTCTGGATGGATATTGTCGCGTAAAATATGGAAACTGCTGAAAAGGGGGGATAAATTAAACACGTGCAAGGGAAGTCTCTTAAAGACAAAGTAACAATAATAAACAATATCATTACAGAACTGAAATGAAATCTGGTTTATGGGCTTCTATATTAAATTATTGCGAATTACGTTCAACTCATCTGTAATTTTTTCTTCCATTTTTTCATTTGACATAACGTCTATTAAATCAATGATTGAAACCAGTTGAATAACACGAAAAGTATTCTGATTTTCGCGAGAAGTGTTTTATCTGTCACATCAAATGTATCCGTACAGTTGAGTGTTCGTTCCACTTCAGCCATTACACTAAATCTGTTGTAAGTGTCGTAAAGCGTGTCTTGTTTCTATGTTCAATAGGTTGTTGCAATAATCACATTATGTAACACTGACCATCTCTGGTCGGCGAGTAAGACGTTGGCTCGCTAACTTGGAGGTCCCGTCTTCGATCCCGGTTTTCCGGTACTGTTTCCCTTGTCAGTGTTGCATGACGTATGGGGCGGAAAACTGGGGCCCCGTGTATACTATAGCCTGCACGTAAAAGAACCCACGACAGTTGGAATTCAATATAAGGGTAAGTTTTTAGCCGCTACCCGGGCACAAACTCCACCAGAGCACACTGTACGCCGTATGCTCGTCGATGCAGAGCAGTTGGACGCTAAACCCCGTTTCCCCCCTCCACCCTCTCTCTCTGGAAAACAAAATGTTGACAGTGAAATGATTTTATAAATAGCATTTTCATTTTCCTCTCAGTTTAGATAAGCTTTAACATATGAATACCAACCGCCATGCCTTCGGCTAAACAGGTGGCGCCCCCTCGTAAAAAATTATTCCAACTTAGATCTATTTCCTGTAAGCAGCTGTTCTCGGCTGCAAGTAGACAATCACAACACATTAAAGGACAATATTGGGGTCAGTCATTACCACAGAGATGAACACAAATAAAAGAAACATTATAAGACGAACCACAATATTTTCCCGGGTTCGTTGTCAACCGAGTTACAACGATAGATTTACGTGTATGCAATTTTTGTGGTTGCTCATCGGCAATATTCAATACAATTTAAAAATAAGACCGTTCTATTCAGTGCAATTTATAAATTATACCCTTCGACGTGGTGATTTTAAATGTTGATGAAATAATATCATATTCAAATATACTATCACTATCTTTTATAAGAGAACAATATTAGTCACAATAATGTCTGTCAAACTAATAACTCTATAAATATGAGGTTGTTTTTTTTTAATTTAATCAAAAAATAAAATATTTATATCACATATTTGACATACAATCTTATCTGAGCATGCCTGATGTAGCTGTATACTAAAACCACGTCAAATTAAAAATGTATTTTTGTACCATGTGGAAATGGTACTTAAGCGCCAAGGGTTAGTTTAACCCAGACATAAACATTGAAAATCTATCTTCTATATACCTACCGAGCATTGATTTAAACGCTCCAGCACAAATGTCACCAAAACTGTTTTGACTAATGTTGATGCCCAACAGTTCTGAATGTTCCTGAAAATTAAACAAAAGTATGCTCATTTAATTAGAAAAAAACACTAACACCCCCGTTATACCGGGGTGGCGCAGTTACTACGCTGCAACCGCGATGGAAAATGGTTCCAGAGGGCGTCAAGATCGCCATGAGCGTGGTAAGTGTATGGTGGAATTGTGGAAACCCCAGAAATCATGCTGCTGTGGTCTCCATGGTTGCCAAACATCGCCGCGTCAGGGCGTTTATTTTGAGCATATTCAAAACAAACGCCAAGTTTCTGCGATCTGGCCTGTAGAGCTGTGGGAACACGACTTTTTTCAAGTTTGTAATTTTTTGGAACATTTTCTCGCGTTGTGTTCACGTTTGCCGGCGACCTTGTGCATCTTCTGGTCGTCGTACGGTCGCAGCAGCGCAGTAAGGACGCAAACCCGGTCTGACGGGGTCATAATGTGGACAAGTACACTACAACAAAAACGAATATTATGTAAAACCGGAGATTAGTATCTTATTACGAGGATCAGTAATTTTACTCAATCGGCAATTCGTATTATAACTTATAATATTCCTCAGTTTTACAGAAAAGAAATGAAATGAAATGCAATGGGGTATAAGTACCTACTTTTCTGCTCCGAACTGGGCTAATGAAGACGGGCATACGCCATACAGTGCGCTATGAGGGAAATTTTGCCCGGACAGCTCCACTATGGTCTACTCTTATATCGTATTTCGAATTGTCAAGGGATCTTTTACGTGCACGCCATTGTGTACACGGGACCTCGGTTTTTCGTCCCATCTGAACGACTAGACAGCTGGCCTTTTCAGGTCCTCCGTCCTGCATCACTAACAAGGGGGAACCACGCCGGAAAATCTTTATGAACTTTCTCGGCCAATGCAGGGATCGAACACCCGAGCCCCAGGTTAGCGCGCAAGCGTCTTACCCACTTAGCCACCGTGACCCCCATTACAGAAAAGAAAGACGATGGAAAATATAAACATATTTAAAGTTTCAGAATTCTTGTTTTCTATGGGGAAGACCATCCCTGTCGATGCCTGTGGTGACAGATTTCGTAATGCAACAACACGCCCGGTGAGAATCTTGTAAAAAGAAATGAATTAAAATGTGGTTTATGCATCAATGATCAGTGTAAGGAAGATGGACATACGCCATGAAATCTGGGGGTAAACTTACCAGAACGAAGGGCCTGAAATCTTATATACGCATTTATATACAAATTTTCCATTCAGAAATTCCAAACACGCTACTGGCAAATTGAAGTAATGAATTGAGGAATTGTTTCTGGTCGTCAACATTTTATCGGTTCTATGACAAACAGCACGAGAGTGCAGAATTTATTTCAACCTGAGCGAATGTGGAAAACACGTCCAGTAGTGCTACACAACGCCGATGTGTGCTAAATTAATGGAGAATGTATGGAAGCCTATAACTACCATTCATAATTTCTACTTTTCGCCTCTTCAAAACACGAAAGTCGAAAAGTCGAAGTTACGACAAAATGTGAGGCGACAACACGCTATACAAGCCAAAATCAACTCGAAAATAGGAAATTAAGAAATAACACACAGCGATAATAGCGCCCCTCGATTTTTCCTAATTTCTACTTTTCGACTTGCATTTTGGCTTGTATACCGTCTTGTCGACTTTCGACTTAGTCATATTTTTGTATTTATTGATGTCAGTAAGAACGCGCCAACACGCTTTACAAGCCAAAATGCAACTCGAAAAGTAGAAATTAGGAAATTAACACACCACGCTATTAGCGACTTTTCGCCTCGGAAGTTGTTGTAGTCTCAGTTTTCCAGGTCGCATTTGAATACGTGCAATCAGAGCTCACGCTGTATTTCATTCTTTGCGTCAAAATGGATAATAATTTTTATATAAAAAAAATGTTCATAATTTTTTTCCGCCAACTGGAATATTTTATCTGCCAAAAATGTCTGATAAAAAAAACACACCTTAGGCTACAACAATTTAATTTGTTATATAGGCCTATTATAAAATAAATTTCCCGTACCGATATATACAATATACAACAACATACACGGGGATTGGGTGGTCTAGTGGTTTAACACGTGCGCGTGAAATAGCAAGGTCTGACATTGATTCAAGTGGTGTGGTTTCGATTCCCCGCTTAAACATGACAAGGGAGTAGGATTGCTTGTCCAACCTTGTGGGTTTTCTCCGGATACCCCAGTTTCTATCTACTGCTAAAGACCTCTACGTGCAAACGAATTATTGAAATGATTTAGTTTGCAACGATCAGTGGATGTTAAGCCAGCCTGGAGGTCGGGTGTTCGATCCCTGCATTGGTCGAGGAAGTTCATCCAGATTTTCCGGCGGATTCCCCCTTGTCAGTGATGCAGGACGTGGAGGTCGGGTGTTTTGTCCCTGCATTGGCCGAGAAAGTTCATCCAGATTTTCCAGCGGGTTTCCCCTTGTCAGTGATGCAGGACGGAGTGGGGGGGCTGACAAGGACAACTGTCGCATACCAAGCCAAAATGCAACTCGAAAAGTAGAAATTCGGAAATAAACACACGCGCTATTAGCGACCTATCATTTTGGCTTGCTGTCCTACTGGCGACGTTTCGAGTTTCGCCTCGGAAGTGGTTGTAGTCACAATTTGCCAGGTCGCATTTAAATACATGCAATTTGCGTTAACAAATTTGCTGTCGACTTTCCGCCTCGGAAGTTGATATAGTCTCTACTTTCAAGGTCACATTAGAATACGCGCATTGATAATTGAATTTCATTTAGGCATACCGTGGTTTCATACCGCATATAAAATATACAGGTTTTCCCGATTGTATATTATTATTTTATTTAAAATTATATTATCACCATGGGTAGGAAATGTAAGAACGAGTCGAATAGTGACGTTTCAGTACCGCCGCCAAAATTCTCTAATGATTGTAAGCATGTCTTATAAATAAAATTGAAATTTCTATGAGGATTCAGATTCTGGGTCATTACGGTACCTGCAATTAAGAATAGGCCTATTGTACATGCAAAACGTTAAAAAGGGAAATCCTTGGATGAGAAAGGCGTGTAGAGACTGGATATATATTGTTCAGTAGGGGGGCGGGGGGTAACGTCTACTCGACACAAACTAAGAGTTATTCAGTGTCTAACATGGTGCAATTTTATTTTAAAATATGGCGACGAGAGAAAGAGAAAACCCACAAGGTTGGACAAGCAATCCTACTCCCTTGTCATGTTTAAGCGGGGAATCGAAACCACACCACTTGAATCAATGCCAGACCTTCCGATTTCACGCGCACGTGTTAAACCACCCAATCCCCATGTATGTTGTTGTACATTGTATATATCGGTAAGGGAAATTTGTTTTATAATAGGCCTATATAATAAATTAAATTGTTGTAGCCTAATAAGGTGTGGTTTTTTTTATCAGACATTTTTGGCAGATAAAATATCCCAGTTGGCGGGAAAAAAATATGAACATTTTTTTTATATAAATTTTTTTATCCATTTTGAAGGAAAAGAATCAAATACAGTGTGAGCCCTGATTGCACGTATTCAAATGCGACCTGGAAAACTGAGACTTCAACAACTTCCGAGGCGAAAAGTCGAAAAGTCGCCAATAGCGATATGACTAAGTCGAAAGTCGACAAGACGGTATACCAGCCAAAATGCAAGTCGAAAAGTCGATAATAGCGTGGTGTGTTAATTTCCTAATTTCTACTTTTCGATTTGCATTTTGGTTTGTATAGCTTGTTGTCGCCTCACATTTTGTCGTAACTTCTACTTTTCGACTTTCGTGTTTTGAAGAGGCGAAAAGTAGAAATTATGAATGGTGGTTATAGGCTTCCATAAGAATGCGACTAACTCCAAAAATACTGAAATTCTGGCCATGTGTTAAGAAGGACAGTTATGTTAATTTAAAGCTGAATTGGTATGTTGTATATGCAAATGTTAAGCACCTATAATCTACACCAATTGGAGGTTGAGTTGACTAAATTCTATCTATATTCCCATCTTTATTGGCCCAGTCGATGCAGAGTAGTAGGACGTTAAACCCCATTTCATCGCTGTCTATATACGGCTCTGGGTCAAACTATCCATGATTAATAGATCATACAGAATAGGTAAAATGTCAATGACAAGACATTTTACGAACGTTGGGGCTTGGATGGCCGAATGGTTAGCACATGCGCGCTGTATCATACGTTCTGTCATTGAGTCAACTGGTGGGGTTTCGATTCCTCGGCTGTACGTGACAAGGGGTAGGGTCCAACCTCGTGGGTTTTCTCCGTGTCCTCCGGTTTCCTCCCACTGCTAAAGACCCCTACGCGCAAGCGAATTATTGAAATAAAATTGAACCATGTGTTAGTCCCGAAATGACCTAGTTTATGTTGAGTGGACGTTAAACTCCATCTCTCTCTCTCTCTCTCTCTCTCTGAAGTGGTTAGTGGCCTCTATGATCCTGAATCCAACTCTGCTCTCACACACAGTCCATGGCTACAGTCGATCTTATCATCGATGTAGTGATAAGTTTGTAAAGTTCGGGTATTCGCAAGTGATCGTAACCTTGAGTGAATGCCATTTATATGGAGCACACAATCATTGATATGGTAGACCAAACAGCTCTTTATTCAGTGTTCTCAATCGATAGTCTTTAATTCTTATCGCTTAATTTTTATCTCTCTTTTACGAACCACACTCTCTATTAAATGTTACACGTGCACGATGGCGTTAAATTGAAATCCGCACTCAATCATTCAGTCGTTTTATCTAACTATGTTTCTTACCTCAATGGCTTTGGCTAATACTATACCATCAGTATCATAGAAATTATTATCTGAAAAACAATAAAGCCATATTGTATCAAGAACGTTGTTTTGGAGTGTGATCGATTGGACTTTTTAGACCGTATTCATTAGCCTGAGCAGAAAAATAGGACGGTAAAGCCCCGTGTTCTATTGGGAAGAACACCATTAGCGCTTGCTCTGAATCACCATCAACACCCCCACCCCCGCAAATAAAATAAAATAAAAACAACAAAATAACACCATCTATACCCGAGCAACAATTACTTTGTTGGTTTTTTTTATTGTTTTAAATTGGAAAAGTTTTGGCATGTATTTCGGATATGACGACATTGTTTCTCAAAGAGGGTGTGAGATAAGTGCTGATTCCCGTGGTTTAGAAAGCCTTTCTAATCAATGTTATATTCAAACAGATGGTTTTCATGGATTCAGATTTCGGATAGGTAGACATTACTTTCCCACAAGGGTAAATGAGGGTGTATTAGTGTAAGGTGGTTGAGGGAGGACATGATTCCACAAAAGATAGCTTTGTTGGATTCAGAAATAATATTCCCTTATCTGTTCAATATCAATTTACATTGTTTCCTACTTACTTGATATGTTCAGATATTTCAAGGTCTTGTTGTTTTCTATAATTCTGGCGATGACTCTCATTCCTGGCGTACGGAGGTCATTTTCACTTAAATTCTGAAAAAGAAAATAGTTACATCTGTTACCACTGTTCATCATGTGCATTATGCATATGGGCAGTCCATTTGCTGATTACGCTATTTTATAGAGATTTCGTCTAATGGTTTGGATGCAGATATGGCGGGTGTGGCGTCAGACAGGCTAAGCATACTCTCCCAGACAACTGTTACCATTGTTCACCAAGTATTTCGTACACGATGAACGGTCCATTTACTGATTACAATATTGTGCTGATACCGTTTTTAGGACTTTGCATTTTTTTCAAATGGTTTGAATTGTTCGTATTTGGTTGTATTTTATTGCAACTGATATATCAGGATAAAAGTTTTTCGACGTGGTCATATTGTTATAAGAGGCGGTGAGATTGCATTATCTTCTTTACAGTAAACTCTAGGGAGAAGATTTGCACAATAAACCGTAGCTCGTCTGGCAATAAAATCATTTCATTGCAAAGGATTACAAGGATTCGCGAAAACCTTAGCTCCTCTTCTCTCAAATATAAATAGGTTCCCTATAGAAACGTGTTGACATTGTATCATGCAGTGCCAAAGCCTTGACACGTAGCCGATATCGTCAACAAAGGACCAAGTAGAATACTACATTTGAAGGTTAAAATGAAGAGACATTAGACATTAATAATATTACAAGAATGATGTCCATATAGATAAAAAGTAATAATGTTAGTTTTCCTACCAAATTTGTAATTGTAATATTTTCTTCCAACATTTTCTCCAGATATCCCAAACTCCTGGTGTTTAAAGTATTTCCCTGTAGATTGACTGTCGTTATTGTTGAATTAATCTATAAACAAAACAATAAAATAAAACATTTACTCGGTTTAGAATTGAGGATTGGCAGGGTCAGTTATCGATTAATTATTGTGCTATTTTGTAATAAAACGGCAGCAAAGAACATCAATAATATAATTCTTACAGTGATGTTTTAATACATAGATAAGCGCAACCGAGAAAAATAGAAAAGGCCTGTGCATTCCTTTGTTTAAACAAGGTCATTTTCTATTTTTCTCTTATTAGTGATAATTTCTATGAATTGTCAGATATCCTCTCGCAGTCTCACATAACAGCTTTTTGTCTTCGAAGAAATTATCAGCAAGCTAAAATTCGACCGTGTATCTGTTATCGCTCGTTACTTCAGTCGATCATATGTAAGGTTAACTCTTGTTTTCCATTTTTTTGTGTCACTTCCCGTTTCTTTAAATCGTCGTTACGCATATATCGTAGCAATCAATGATCACTGTGTTAGAATTATATTTGGAATGTGTTTCACCAGTTCTATCACATATGCAACAATGGCCGACACCAACATTGTCCTTTAAGTGGACGGATCAATGTGGACTGTGCTTTAGATCATAAGGCATGCCATTAAATCAAGTGTTATGTTATTGATCTCCTGGTTTCATCTCACTGATGATCCATGTGCACAGGCGAATTATATAAAGAGTGTACGTTAAACCCGAATTTTCTCTCTCTGGACTGAGAGTTGAATTTAGAAACGTTTAAAGTAGCTAAGTCCCTAACTCAATATCATCAAAAATCTTCTATATTGAAAACACGAATTATTTGTCAATTCAAATCAACATTGGTCTTGTGATCTTACAGGGAAAAGATGGGCTTCTGATATCCAATATTCAAGACAAAATAAACATTTTACCATTGGTACACGAATCGTGTACCATAATGCGTTTCAGAGTCATTTGGAACAAGGGACTCAAAGAACGGGGGGCTAGACATATTCCACAAGTCATGTCAAATGGTGACGCTATATTCTTATCTGGAGAGCATGCGCAATACATACCTTCGATGTGGACTGGAATAACCAGACGCTAAAGATTGCCATTCAATTGAGACTTCTGGCGTATTTCGCCAAACATAACCGATTAGAAATTACAGTAAAAACAGAAACGATTGAATGTAAATCAGTTTATATACATTGTACATTCATATCACATTATGATTTATATGCGTTGTGCCCCATTTGTGTCAATTTCTAGGTCCCAAATATTACCGATTTCGCCCCGTTAAATATTAAAATATGTATACATGAGACTAAGAAAGCAGAGAATGAATAATAAGTTCAAAATGAAATGTTTAATTACTTACCACTAGTGCCATGGATATTGCCAAGGTGCTTTTACATTCTAAACCATAAAATTGAAGGTCAAGGGCAGATCCTCGCTCTAGACTCCTCAGAAAATTTGATATAGTGCTGACACCTATCTTCCTACAAGCACGTTCATAGGTTCTTTTACCCGTCTCATCATAATTCGGCTTCACTTCTATAGAATGATACATTAGACATTATACATAAAGTCAACCCGAGTAATTCACGAGAAAATTGTTGCCTTTATCTACAATTACTTGTAAAAGTAAAATAAACTGTAAACAATTCAGTCGGTGTGCTTTACGTTCACATTAAATTAAATTTTCCCAGTTTAGTCCCCAAAATGTTGGAAAGAGTTCGTTGTTTGCACGACGAGGTAAAACCTCGGTGTTTTATACCTTCTAACAGCGTCTAATCGGAAAATGGATATCCCATGCCCACGGCTCTGGTATAGCAAGCTGCATGATATCTATCCGTCTACATAAGACCGAATGAAATGACCTAGTTTTTGTGGAGTAGACGTTGCCCCCCCCCCTTCACCCCCGCCCCCTCTCCCCTCTCGCTCTACCTCTCTCTATCTTTTCCCATGTCTCTCTCTATCATTATTCCATATATGTTACTTTCGAAATGAAATACTCTGTCTCTCTCTAAATAGGACGTGTGGTAAGACAAAAATGAAACAAAATGGGGTTTAACGTCCTGTTGTTCTGCTGGGCTAATGAAGACGGACATACGCCATGCAATATGTTATAGGGGAAATTGTGCCCGGGCAGCGACGCTATATCCTACTTTTATTTTGAATTCTAACTGTTACGGGTTATTTCACGTGGACGCCAATGTGTACACGGGACCGAGGTTTTTTTATGCCATTTCAACGTTGTCCCATGCCAGATCCTCCGTCCTACATTACTGACAAGGGGAACCACGCCAGATGAACTTTCTTAACCAACGCATGTGTGGAACACGGGACCTCCAGGTTAGCGATCCACCGTCCTATTCACGTAGTCACCGTGGCTCCCATGTGATAAGACAACTACAAACGAACAGAAGGGGCATTCCGGGATATTAATTTATCTTACCAGTAATATCAACGTTGCTTTCCATATCAGCAGAATTAATGATGTCATCAATTTCTGCGTTTCGCTGCTGTAAATGATGACTTTTCATGTCTATTGCAGGCAGTGTTAATGACGTGCATGTATATGTTTTTGATAATGCAGCTGTCACGGGTTGGATTTTGTGGTTTTTATTCGGTGCTTCTATTGCTGTTATAAATGTTTCGTCATTTTTATTTACGTCAGAGAGTTTGTCAATATCTTCTTCCAACTCATCGATAGATGTGATGGTGGAAAGCTTGGTTGTTCTTGCGGCGTGTGGCATGATACTATTGACTTTGGGAACCTGGAAGTAAAGACTGGCATTTATTCAGATTGCAGAGGACACAGCAACAAGGGAGATAAATGTAATAACACCCTTGTGGATGCAGACCACCATTAATTTCCCCATTGACTAAAATGTTAATTCTTGTCTCTTTGCCCGGCTCCAACTTTTTCCAAAATTGTCGTTGGGCTGAACCCTTTTCACTACAGACAGAGACACAAATGGTCAGGTCTTTGCTCTACACTATGTATGGGGTTTGTCAGTGAAAATCTAAGATACACAGACGTGATGTAGCATACTAAAACGATGTACCTATTCGCCGTACTTTCATCGTAACCAACCCATAGTTATATTTGTTATCAGTACACGAATAAATCGTGAATATTTGCCAAAACCTGACGGAAAATGTCAATTAAAACCCTCTTCTTCCATTTTATACCTAAAAATTAACACAAATGACAACGCAAAAGTGTGGGGTGCTATAACAATTTGTTGTGGCTGGATGGTGGAGTTGAATGGAGGTCGGCCTCAATGACAATGTGTGTCCTAACAGCAGAGAAATAATATATAAGAGAACACGTGACTCTCGAAATCAAATAAAGATGTTAACGTAAAGTAACTCATTATGTTAAAATGGAGTTGAGTATAAAATATTGGAATGGTGTATGACATACTATACTCTTCAGAAAAAGTCGGGGATATTGAAATGCAAATACCTATGCAGATTGTGATATGATAAATAATCATGGACACTTGACATGGTTTGAGAGTATGTTCACAGATGAAGAACTTATCGCCCCAACAGAACCACTGAGCTGCATGTGCGACACGCAATAGTGCCATGCATGTGGGAGGGGTTCATTGTCAAATTTGATACTGCAAGGAAGGGTTGATGAAAACTGCCGCGTGCTGGTTTATCCTATCCATGTTTGCTTTCCTATCGGTTCTTGCATAAGATTTACTGCTTTAGTGTGTTACGTTTAATTTGCAATGATACATCTTCAACATGATGAACGTCTACGTGCTATTGACATGCTTCAAATGGGTTCTACACAGCGAACAGTAGCCAACATGCTTAATGTGTCACAGTCTGTGATCAGCAGACTTTGGAACAGGTACCAACAAACACACAATGTTGATGATAGACCTCGTTCAGGTCGCCCTAGAGCCACTACACAAGCCCAGGATTGATACGTTCGTACACAAACGAGCAATCAGCTTCCTGTAAACTTGTACCAATTTACCGGAATTCGAGTTACAACCCAAACGATTAGAAATCGGCTACATGCAGCCCATTTGCATGCGGGTCGACCGCGTGTTGTGAGTCTATTAACTCGCCAGCACATGGCAAACAGGCGTCAATCGTGTAGGCAGCGTAGAAATTGGGATAATCGTCCATGGGCGCGTGTAATGTTCTCAGATGAATCCTGGGGCCTATTTCACGGAATTTTAAACAAGGTAGAATCCAAATTTTAGTAATTTGAGTGGATAATATTCGATTGATTTTAGTGCTTAGCCAATCAAAATTGAAGTATCTACTAAAATTTGGATTTTATCTTTAGTTAAAATTTCGTGAAACAGGGCCCAGATTTACTATGGATTTTACCGACAGGCGTTCTCGCGTTTGGAGGCGTGTACATGAGCGTCATGCTAACGTTATCGTCAGACAGCATGACAGATTCGGGCGTGGGTCTGTTATGGTGTGGGGAGGAATCACGAGCGCGGTGAGCACGGACTATTTCACGACACGAGCCCGGTGGGCACGGACATAGTAATAATAATAATAATAATAATGACTTTATTTCAGAAGGGTTGAAGATTAGGCTATGATAGCCTTTCCAACATCCTGCCCACCGCGCTCGTGTCGTGAATGACTATCTCCAGCGTCACCATATTGTCCATATGCCTTGGCCAGCCATGAGTCCTGACCTTTCCCATGTAGAGCGTGTCTGGAACATGATCGGGAGACGTGTTCGTCGACGTCAACGTCAACCAACAACACTGCAAGAATAGGCCGTGGCACTGCAAAAGGAGTGGGTCAGATTGCCCAAAATCGTGATTGGACGGTTGATTAGGAGCATGCCACGACGAATTGCTGAACTGTTTATGTTCATGTATAGGCAATTGTTCTATTAACATACACTGGTTACCTCTAATAAAAACAGCAGTGCATGCCGCAGTTTTGTATTGTTTCTGAATATCCTCTACTTTGTTTTAAGAGTACCATCAAACAATATATAAACTTGTAAAAACTGAAATGAAATGGGGTTTAACGTCCAACTGTTCTGCAGTGTGCTATGATGGAAATTTTGCCCTGACAGTGGCGCTACTGCCTACTATTATATCGAATTCCAACTGCCAAGGATCTTTAACGTGCACGCCAATGTACACACGGATAAACTTGTAAAACTAATAGGGTTGAAGTGATATTGTCCATTGGCAATCTACCTAAAAACATTTGTTTCATCTTGAGTAACATTTCTTCTGACAGTTGGTGCATATTATGAAATAATTTGGGTCATTGAAATGAGTTTCACCAACATCTGTGAGAATGATATATAGAACTTTAAAGGGGGCTGATGAATTGGGACAGACGTCTACCTAAAGGTATATTGCGTAATATTCAGTCTTTTGGATGGAGCATATTATGCCAGCAACTATGATTCATAGAAAACGTAAAGGGCTAAGTGAAGACTCCAGGGACCTGTCCTTATTCGACATAAAATGACTTGGGCATAGTATGTACTGTTCTTGTTCACTGAAATGAGTTTTGCCAGAAACTATGGTTCATAGAAAGCTTACAAGAGCTAGGCGTGAGGAAATAGGCATATGTCCTTCTTCGACATAACATAACATCTGTGAAATTGTGTTAATATATTGATCAGATTAAATCTTATTTTAGATAGTTGCATTTTATGGCTACAACAGTAATGTGAGATGGTGTATTTTTAATAGACCATAACACTGTAGCTTCAATTTTATTATACCTAGAATATGATTGGAATGGTTCTTTTTTTATCTCGTGTGTGTATCAGAATATGATTGCATTCCTTGTCAGCGATCATTTGTTTATATCTAGAATATGATTTAAATACATTTGTGATCATTTGTTTCACATAGTGCCCTATGAACTGTGATACCATTCACTGTGCAATTCCAGAGATATGAAAATGACATAAGCAGTTTTTTTTCTGTTTTCTATATTAGCCTACAGATATATGTCGTTCAAGTCAGAATGACCCACGTGGGATACTGTGGACTATTATAAGGTTTATCTGGCGGTTAAATGTATAATTTCACGATCGATTATTGTTAAAGGTCTTCATATCAAAACAAGATCGATATCCAATTATTTGGTTTGTTTGTGTTGTTTTAATGTCCATAAAGCTAACTATAACATATTCGCCTTTATAACTACATGTATCTATAACGTCGTATTTTATCTGATAAACGCTGAATATTCCCGGGGCTTACGCTAAATACCGATGCAGGTCGATAGCCAGACTAAAAATGTACGGGGGGGGGGGCAAGGGTTTCTGACGCCACCGATGGAGCTTTTCATGGCGCCGATGTACCTATACACTTGACGGTCTAAGGCGAACGACACCGCGGACGCACTCTCTTTGGTCTAGCCTTCACCCCCACCCACCACCTCCAGCAAATTTTGGAAAATGAGGTTTGTACCCGAGAAGAGGAACTTTCAACTTAGAGGCGGAAGTTTAATATAGGAGTATTATGATATTTGTATATGAACATTATAAACATTTGAAGTAAGGAATACGACTTTAGCCTACCTAATAATTTATGAGAAAAGCGAAAAGTTCGGAATTTAAAAATTATCACGCCTGGCGTGGGCTTGAATCAATCCATCATCATCGTGAATTAGACCTGGACAATTTTCAACAATCTCCAGTTGGCTTTGTCATGATAGATTTCGTCGTGGGCGGCCCACCAATCTAGGCATTATGAGGCAGCCCACCAATCATGCCGTTTTGGGCGACCCATTGATCAAGTCGTGGGCGCCCACCAATCATGCCGTTTTGGGCGTCCCACTGATCAAGTCGTGGGCGCCAAACCAATCTCACTCGACATTATGCATTATCTACAGACCGGGATGATGCAGCCCACCAATCATGCCGTTTTTGGCGCCCCATTGATCAAGTCGGGGGCGTTCAACTAATCTCACTCGACAATATGCATTATGTGCGCCCCGACAATCATATATTGTTATTATGGGCGCCCCTGCGGGGTTAGGACGCCCAACCAATCAAGTTAGGGTGTTATTCGTCTGGTTCATTATTAGGCGCCTCACCATTGACTTAGGGGCTCGTATCTCGTTGTGGGCACACAGCCAATGTCACCGGGCTTTATGGTGCGCCCATACTGATATGAGCACTTTGGTCGTTGGCTTCGTATTGCGTCCAATGGTAAGGGCGGCTCAGGCGCCCGTTGGAGGAGCCGATTTTTTCCGGGGGGGGGGGAGCAGCTGCCCCCCCTTGCCCCCCACTATCTAGGGACCGGCAAAGGCCAAGTGATAAAAATAACGTAGAATAACAACTGATAAAATATTCACGGGTAAATTACATCAATTCAGGCACTATGATTTCTAGATGAGAAATAAATTACACAATAATGGTCGTTTAACACAAATAAAAAGACAATTTTGTACGCTATAATAAAATCAATTTCATTCCATGGATTACCAATGGTCTCTTTCTTAAAGAGGTGATTCAGCCATTGCAGATGATTAGCTTATTATCGACGTATTGTCCTTGTACAACAGGGGCCGCGGTGGCTCAGTGAGTAACGCAATTGCTCACTAACCAGGAGAGATCCTAGTGTTGACAGAGAAAGTTCCTCATGATTATCCAGTCTGGTTTGAGGTCGTCAGTAGGAACATCGTCCAGTCCATCGGATGGGGCACCAAAAACAGTGTACAAGTTGCCGTGCACTTAAAAGACCTCTTGACATTTGGAATGCGATGAAAGATAAATGAAAATACCATTGTCCATAGCTCACTG